TGCCCGCCCCCCTGCGGGGGGGGGGTGGGCAGTGCGTGTCATAGTGACTGGTCGTTCCTCCGTGGTCGATTTGCATATTGGGTTTTATTATGTAGAATATTTGAACATATGTATAATTCATTGAGTCCTACAGAGAAGAGGGATCTTAAAGGTTTTTCTAGTCTTGATTGCCTACTTTTAAAACAGAAACACATCTTCAACCAATTCTTGACATTTGGATCTTATAATTGCTTTTATTATAGCCATTGGTAGGGAATATACTCCTTTAGGCATTCTATTCTATTTATGAATAGTTCTATCCAATTGAAAATTGTACCTTGAATCTATCTCACTGTTAACTGTTCATCATAATTTTGTTCCTTTAGAACTAGACCTTATCTTGTAAAAATACTCTTCAGTTGTTTGAAGACAGACGTCATGGGTCTCATTACATCTTATTTATGTAAAGCAAACCAGTTTGTTTTTTTAATTATTAGTCATGTTACATGATTTCTCTGTCCTCATCACATAATGGACATGTTTGACTTTCTTGGCTTTAAATGTTTTTTACTACAACCTCAATAAAGAATACATTTTCTATCTTAACTGAATATAACCATACATATCGAAATATGTAAGTACATAGTTTTTGAACAAAAATTTCATAAGACAATATATCTTTACACTAATATCTTCTGTTCTCTTAATTTAAAAAAATCCTAGTGTTAACCCGTTACCTGGTTTTATCCAATCTGTAGTTTGGAACACTATTTTAGTTTATTAATGTTGCAGAATTAAAACAGTTTCCCAAAGCTGGATAATCATTGCTAAAACAGGTTTTACCTTTATCACCTCAAAGAGAATATCCTGATGGTGATTACTAAGAAAAAGTTTACAGGATTGTCAAGTTATTGGTAATGAGTACTGTAAAACTAAAATACACGTAACTTTTATTTTTATCCTCAGGTGGCGACAGACAAGGTTGCGGAAAAGCTGAGTTCTACTCTCTCATGGGTGAAGAACACAGTATCATACACAGTCAATCAGATGGCCAGTCAGGTGGCAAGTCCATCTACTTCATTACACACTACATCCTCATCTACCACATTATCAACGCCAGCCCTTTCACCATCTTCCCCGTCACAGCTGAGTCCAGACGACTTAGAACTCCTGGCTAAACTGGAGGAACAAAATAGGTGAGTGAGGTTGTTTGTCTTTTTTCTCTCCAATTTTCATACAAACTCAACCATTTACTCATATTAAGAATGTTTACTTTTTATTTTTTGGCTTATTGTTTATCAAAATTACTTAAAAGTATTCAAGTCTGTTTTGGAAGAGTTGGTCTTAAACCAAAGTTGGACTAAAATTTTCTTCTGGCTAACATAGCTTTATATATTTCTTTCCTCTTTTAAAAAAAAATCACCATTTATCCCCCCTATACACTCTTCCACCTCTACCTACCCACTCCCTATATATTTATTTTCTTAGTATAGAATATTCCCTAAATTCTTCCTGAATATTAGAAAAAAATTTAAAGGCAAATAAAACCACCATTTTTAAAATTTTTAATATTTTTTTGTTAATTCTCACCTGAGGATATTTTCCCATTGATTTTTAGAGAGAGTGGGAGGGAGAGGGAGAGACAGAGAGAGAAACATTGATGTGAGAGAGACAACATTGATTGGTTGCCTCCTGCAAGCACCCCGACCAGGGCAGGTCATGGAACCTGTTAGCAAGGTATATGCCCTTGACAAGAATCAAATCTGGGACCCTTCAGTCCACAGACCGACGCTCTGTCCACTGAGCCAAACCAGTTAGGCCAAAACTACCATTTTTGTTTTAAACAAAATAGTCCCCTCTGGTTACGTCATAAAATAATTTAATCAGGATGGATATCTGATTTGCGTTTTAGAGTGGGAAATCTCTTCATAAGTTTATTCATGGAAGGCAAAGTATCCTTTTCTGTTGATGAATATGAAATAGTTGTTTACTCTGCTAGGAATGTGTGCTCTGGACTCTGTGTGTCATTTTACTCTATTACTAGTGGCCCGGTGCACGAATTCGTGCACATTGAAAGGAAATTAATTAGAAGAAATATTTTAATATCGCTATTCGCCCTTTCTCTATAAATAGAAGTGTCAACCAAATTCACGATCGACACTGACAAATCGAAACACATGCATGCTATTGGTGCCAGTGAGAGCTTTATATGTATTGCGCATGCGCGAGTCACCTTAGCCTTTTATATATATAGAATAAACTTGCTTAATTGGCCCTAACCGGTTTGGCTCAGTGGATAGAGTGTCAGCCTGCGGACTCAAGGGTCCCAGGTTTGATTCCAGTCAAGGGCATGTACCTTGGTTGGGGGCACATCCCCAGTAGGGAGTGTGCAGGAGGCAGCTGATCGATGTTTCTCTCTCATCGATGTTTCTAACTCTCTATCCCTCTCCCTTCCTCTCTGTAAAAAAAATCAATAAAATATATTTTAAAAAAACACACAAAAAAACTTGGTTAATTAGACCTGCTTTCTGATTTAGCTAAATTTTTTCCAGCCCAGTGAAGCACCCCAACTTCTCTTTTAGGTAACTGTCAGCAACACAGCAGTAAATATCAACATGAAGCAGATTATGATTGTAGATGACGCAGGGAGAAAAAAAGGGTGAAATATTTAACTACAGCAGTGTTTGACTATATTCTGTGCAGTGAGAAAACCTGATGTCATTTTCAAAGTCCACCATTTCTTACTTCTTTTCAGTCGGGTCAAGTTTCTAAGCTTTCTAAATCTCTGTTTTTTGGCTAGTGAAAAGAAAATAGGATTCCACCAAGTCTCCTAACTACCTACTTACTCCAGGACTTCTGTGAAGATCAGATGAGATGAGGCATGGGAAAACGCTTCACAGACATTTGGTTAAAGTGTAAAATGTTTGCACCTGACTATAAAGCAAGTCATGTTCCTAGGCTGAAGAAACTTCAAGGAGGCTAGTTGCTAGGGAGAGGAAGGGGGCGTTGCTATGTGATGTCATTACCCGGCGCCCACAGCCACCGTTTCCAGGCTGGCTGGGCTATGGGCCACATTTTGTGCCATGGGATCTTGGCAGCGTTGGCTGCGATTTGGTGGGCTGTCGCTCCAGGGTGGTGATGGGGCCTGTGTCTCACTTGGGGGAAGCTGAGTGTTGCTTTGTTGGCACCAGGTCCGCGGTGCCATTTCTTTGTAAATGGCCAGTGCATATCACGGCAGCTCCTGCATTGAGTGTCTTCCCCCTGGTGGGCAGTACACATCATAGCGACCAGTTGGACAGTCGGAGAAACACTTAGCATATTAGCCTTTTATATATATAGATTATCAAAAGCTCTTTAGGGCATCAGCCAGAAAGGAATTATTAGAAGAGCATCCTTTTGTGTTTAGTCAAGATATATATTACCACTCACTATAAGCATAATAGCAGAGATAATTTCTAGCAGCTTTTCTGATATATAATTGACATAATAAAAAATTATACTTAATAAGGTACACAGTTTGATATATATACTGTAAAATTATCACCAAAGAAAAAAAAATTATCACCAAAATCAAGAAAATGAATGTATCCATTATCCCACTTCCCATCTCCAGGAAGCCATTGATAATGCTTTCAAACTAGTTTAGTTTGCATTTTCTAGAATTTTATAGAAATGGAATCATACACTATGTACTCTATTTAAAAAATATTTTTATTGATTTTTAGAGAGAGAGGAAGGGGGGGAGAGAGAGAGAAACAATGTGAGAGGGAAACACCATTGGCTGCCTCCTGTATGCCCCCTACTGGGGATCAAACCCTCAACGGGGCATGTGCCCTCAATGGAAATTGAACCAGCGACCTCTTGGTGCTCTGGATGACACCCAACCAACTGAACTACACCAGCCAGGGCACTCTGTACTCTTTTTAAATGGATTATTTCACTCAGCATAATTATTTGGAGATTCATCCATATGAATAGAGATGACAGGTACCATATGATTAAATTTATATGTAGAGTCAAATGAACAAAATAAAGAAGGAAAATAGAGACTCATAGATACAGAGAACAGATTGACATCTGTCAGAAGGGAGGGGCGTTGGAGGACTTGGTGAAAAAGGTGAAGGGATTAATCAAAACAAAAAACAACAACTCAGAGACACAAACAACTGTATGGGGAGTACCAGAGGTCAAGGGGGGTTGGGAGAGGTAGAATAGGGTAAAGGGGAGATTAGTGGTTTTGGAAGGAGACTTGATTTTGGGTGGTGAACATGCAAAACAATACATAGATGATGTATTATAGAATTGTTATACCTGAAACTTATATAATTTTATTAACCAATGTTACATAAATAAATTCAATAAAAATTAAAACATTTTTCAAAAAAAAAGTACAAACATTTGTATTATTGTATAATTTCATTTCTACTGGGCACATACCTAGTGATGGATAACTGGTTCATGTAGTAGGTGTACATTTAACTGTCAGTCTGTTTTCCAGACGGCTATACTTTTTCATGTTCTCACTATTAGCTTATAAACATTTCCTCTACATCCTTGCCAGCAGTTGGTGCTGAGAGTCTTTACTTTTAGCCATTTTAGTAGGTATTGATACCTTGTTTTTTAAAAACATTTATTTATCAATTACAATTGACGTACAATATTATATTCGTTTCAGGTGTACAGTACAGTGATTAAACATTTATGTACCTCACAAAGTACACCCCAATAAGTGGTACCCATCTGACACCACACATTATTATTACAACTAGAGGCCCGGTGCACAAAAATTTGTGCACTGGGGGGGGGAAGGGGGGGGTCCCTCAGCCCGGCCTGTGCCCTCTCACAGTCTGGGACCCCTCGGGAGATAACGACCTGCTGGCTTAGGCCTGCTCCCGGGTGGCAGAGGGCAGGCCCAATCCCTAGGTGCAGCCCCTGGTCGGGCTCAGAGCAGGGCTGATTGGGGAGTTGGGGCGCCGCCCCCTGTCATGCACAGAGCAGGGCGGATCGGGAGGTTGCGATGCCACCCTCAGTCACGCTCAGGGTAGGGCAGATTGGGGGGTTGGGGCACCGCCCGCTGTCACACTCAAGGCAGGGTCAATGGGGAGGTTGC